GTACACTGCATATACTTCCTAGTTGGTGGGAACTGAATTTTGAGGCTATTGTACCAAAGGTAACCTATTGTTATTGTCAGGAAAAATGTGGCATGTGAAAAGATGAAAAATGCTGATAGAAGGAATATCTTTCTTAGCAAGAAAGCTTTTTTATCACTTCAGACAAAGCTATGATTGGCAGCTAAGATAAAAAATCTTTTAGCACATCTTCAGTATTGGAAAGATTTTCACTTGGAATGTAAGAGGTACAAATTATTATTAAATAAAAGAACAATCAAAAATAAAGGAATAGGTAAATTTATGTCTGGAAAATAGGAGAAAGTAGAGAAAGTAATGACCAGAATGAAAATAGCCTGATCATGTTGAATTATGCTGATGAATACATGAATGAAATGACAGAAAGGGTTTAATTAAGCATTAAAGGGCTGAAATATGTCTCTGGAAGTATAAATTGATGTTTTCTGATTTACTGTAGGTGTATATGAAAAATAGAAATGTGTATTTTGATGATAGCTGGATGTTACATTCCAAGGAATAATGATTGTTGAAAAATCAAATAATAAAATGTGTTTTGGGGGAAAAAGAGTCAAGGTATTCTCCAAAGCACCTGGGGGCAGGACAAGAAGCAATAGGTGGAAACTAATCAAGGAGAGAAGCAACTGAGAACTAAGGAGAAATTTCCTGACAGTTAGAACAATTAATCAGTGGAACAACTTGCCTCCAGAAGTTGTGAATGCTCCAACACTGGAAGTTTTTAGAAAGATGTTGGATAACCATTTGTCTGAAGTGGTGTAAGGTTTCCTGCCTACACAGGGGGTTGGACTAGAAGACCTCAAAGGTCCCTTCCAACTCTGTTATTCTATTCTGTTCTTCAGTTCTCAGTTGGTCTCCTGCTTAAGCAGTGGGTTGGACTAGAAGATCTCCAAAGACCTTCCAAGTCTGTTACTCTGTAATTTATTTTGAATGAAAGCAATCGGGGAAAATATTAATCTGTAATGTAAAGTGAATGAATAAGACAAAAGGGGATAAGAGCTATTCTGAGACCTAAAAATTAATGTGTTTGGTCAGAATCCACATAGAAAAATGTTTTGAAAATTTGCTGTAGTTACTTCATGTGTATACATGGAAAAGCAATGAATACAAAACATGGCTGAGCTTTTAGCTCTGAAAGTGGGAGGATTCTGAATGTTCCATATATTATTCTGTGGGAGGAGGGAAGGGAGGGAGGGAGGAAGGGAGGAAGGGTAGGTACAGATTAGCAGTTTCAATATTTGCAGATCAACAAATCTTCTAATAGAATGAATAGAAAGTGGATTTAACGAAAGAGCATGTGAAGTCCAATTTGGGGTGGAAATCAGAGAAAAGGAAAGACTCATGTTGATTTTGCAACTGAATCTACTTGTATGAGGAGAAAACATTCATTATAATAGACTTCTCACATATCGGATGTTTGTATGTATTTATATGAAGACATCTGCATTGACATTTCAATTATTTTTACAGATGATTCTATAAAGGAACAAGGTTTTCAGAAATATTTTCACACAGTTTTTGATAGATGCTTATTGATTTACAAAAGGGAGCTTAATTTTGTTTTGTTTTTTGTTTTCAAAACTGTTCAATAAAAAAAGAAAATAGCAAAATTTAAATCAGGACAGAACAAAATTAGAAAGGAAAGATATATAATATATAACATAGTATATTCTGGTCTCCAACAACATATAGTAATCACTGTATATAGTTTGCTAATTGACAAACACAATCACAATACAAACATAATGTGTTAGTTTTAATAAAAATGAGTACTTTGTCATTTATTCATAAAAAAAAAATAGTAGGGAAATACATTTTGTTTTTAAGTATTCCCCAGAAGTACGAAATGGTTTAAAAAAAAATGAGAGGAAGTCAGTTTTGGAGCTCACACACGTTTCTGATGTGAAATATCTAACAATATTTCTAATATAAACACTTCACTTTAGAGGTTTGAATCCTGTGGGATTTACATGTGGTCTTATTGAAGCAAAGTAAAACTATCCACATTAAATCTGTTAATTTCTCTGGAAAAGTGATAATCACTTTATTAAATATCTTCTTTTATATTAAGAATTTGAAATGTTTAAATATTACAGAGTATCTTCTCAAATATGATCTAATCCACAGCTATTTTTATCTTAATAAGAAATGTATATTCTGGTGATTGATATGAATTCCTACAGACTTATACATAGCAAATCACTTGGATCAAAATAACAGAATAGCAGAGTTGGAAGGGACCTTGGAAGTCTTCTAATCCAAAGCTCTTCTCAAGCAGAAAATCCTATACCATTTCAAACAAATTTGTCTCTTCTTAAAAATCTCCATTGTTGGAGCATCCACAACTAATTGTTTGATCTGTCAGGAAATTTCTCCTTAGTTTTAGGTTGGTTCTCTCTTTGATTAGTTTCCATCCGTTGCTTCTTGTCCTAACTTCAGGTGCTTTGGAGCCTCTTCCTTGTAGCAGCCCTTCAAATATTGGAAAGCTGCTATCACGTCACTCCTTCTTTTCATTAAATTAGACATACCCAATTCCTGTAACCGTTATTCCTATGTTTTAGCCTCCAGACCCCTATTAATCTTTATTGCTCTTCTCTGCACTCTTTCTAGGTCAACCAAGCATGGTGAAGTGGTATATAAATCTAAGTGCTATTGTTATTTTTATTTTGAAAGTGAAATATTGATTTCAACCAATGCATAATATTACTGATGAGCTGAAAATATATAATGGATTTTTTTGGTTGAGGTATGTATAAAATTCTGTAAATATTTGGGCTATTGTAATAGAAGAAGTGTTCCAATCCTAAATATGCATATATTAGCCTGAGATAAAATTTGAAGGCTAGGTTATTAGATGCATCCTGGAACTAGCACCTTAGATGTAAAACATATACTATGTTAACTCCATTATAGCTAACAACTGAAGTATTAGTGTGTCTTTCATTAGTTCAGCAAGATAAGAGCTTTATTACTCCATATTTGTAGTAGGTCAATTAGGAAACTAAAACACTTGGTGTAGCAGCAATAGCATTATCTGTTCTAACACCAGATTAATTTTATAACCCGGTGTTAAAATAAATAAAGATTGCACTGCTCATTTAGAGTTCTTTTCACCATCTTTTAGGCTGCAAAAATCTAGAGTGGCAGGACAGTTGCTATCCTTTGTTAGTTTCTGTTTGCCTCTGGTGCATCTGTTCTATCATCAGTGAATGCTAATGCTCTGATTCTGCATGTGCATCATGTGTTATGCAAGAGACTGAGTCCCCTACCTTTCTTCTTCATATTGTCACCAGCTGATTAAAAAACATTACATGCATTCATCCATCCATCCTACCTATAAGGCTCTCTAACTTCAAATTTTGACACTGAGTGGTTTATATAGGATTAAAAGCACAAAAATAATATTTGATAAACATAAAACTACATAAAACATAACTGAGGCCAAATTGCAATCAATCTTCAAGTAAGAATTTCCCAAATAATTTCAGGCAGGCGGTATTCAGTTTTGTCTCAATGGCTGGATGAAAAAAACAAGTTTTCAAAGCCTTATAGAGACCTACAGAAATGGCTTTGGAGGCCATGCAAATCTTGTGGATAGGTTGTTCCAAAAGTCAAAAGCTGTAATCAAGAAAGCACATTTGCAGTCTCTGTGCTGTGAAGAGCTTCCATCCCTGTTAATGTTCAGATAGTCCCTCAAGATGTGGTTAAATCATCAGGCTTGGAAGTCCCAGGTAACTGGCAACATTTTTGTTGTGGGTAATATGTGGTTAACTATATTTTTTCTCCATTTGTGGTTTGTATATTTTCATTTTTAATTATTTTAATATTGATTGTGTGCATTTTATAATGATTGTTTTTATAATGGTGTCTTAATATTATGATTTAATTTATTGTTGTGCATCACCCAGAGTCACTTCTGATAAGGTGGACAGAATTATAACATCATGCACCTCACTTCAGAGCAATTTCAGAAGGATTCTGTGTTTTGAAGGCCACTCAGGGAATAGTGAAAAACAGGTTAGATACACAACCCCCATCTCAGTAAATCTACTAAGGGTCATCTACAAGGGTGACCAATATTATCTTAGTACTATAGTCAGAAAACAGTCTGAAAACAATCCAGATAATTTATTTATTCCTGTGTCTTCTGAAACTGCAAACTTATCACCTTATCAACAATCTTGCCTAAAAATGATTAACAGTGTTCCTTGATAACCAAGACAGATTGTGTCTACATCAGGTCCAAAAGACCCATACAACTGAAATACAATTCAGAGCAGATTTAACTGGCTGTATCATATGATTGCCTTAAATAGTTTTCAGAATGGCACTGTGTAAGTTCACCTGTGCCTCTGACTCCCCCATCCCCACATATAGGGACCAAGTCACAAAACAACTACTTGTGGATAGTTTTAATTGCTCAAAACTAAAAAGGGTAGCTTCTCAACTCTCACTTTAAAAAATCAGGTATAATAACGTAGCTATGCTTTGAAAAATTAGTTCTACAAAACTTGAAAAAAGGGTGAGTGCTCCTTCAAAGTTGATCCACAGCATTTTGCCCACAATTTTCAATAGCACATTTTTATGTGCATATTTTATGTGTGGAATTTTTGATAGAGGAAAATGAATACTAGCAGACATGGTTTGACACTAACATTCATTCTGCTATGAAATCCAGAGAGAGCAGAATGCCTAAATTATCTCTCAGAGGAACCTTTGGGGAATTCTTTCACATTTTCATGCCCCAGAGAACATAGAATTTTCAGTCTTTTGGACCACAGTGCAATCACCATCAATTTCAGAATTTATTTTTAGAGATACTTTCTCTGTAACTTTCAATGGTTCCCTGAGGAAAGGGTGTTTTTGTAGCTTTATTTGTTTTGTTATAATTCTTCCTTTTCATAATCTAGAAATGTGGAATGACACATGTCATGGCATTTTTGACTAAACAAGATTTTTTTTTTTACCTGACTGGCGCACCACGAGACTGTGCAGGCTTCAGCATGACTGTAATGGTGGTCTCTGTTTCATTCAGAGGGGTGTCAGTATCATATTCTGGCATTGATGGGGCTGTGGAACAACAGAAATATTTATGTTTCTGTAAAGCAACCAGTAGAAGGGAATCAAATACAAAATGCTTTTTGATGCTGTTTGTTCTTTTGTAGCAGTGAATTTTCAATCCAATTAAGAAGAACTGGTTTTCTTGTGATTTTTCTCTCCATGTTCCTTTATGTTTGATTAAATATCTCTTGCTCTCTTTCCAATTTCACATCTTCATTTACAGCTGTCTTCTGCAAGAAGCTGTTTCTAAACGTAACAGTTTGTGTGAGCAGATCCCCTTCAGGCACAAAATGTAAAGTCAATAAAAGAAATTAAGCTCATTTCTTGAAATCTCAATATTGTGTATTAATAATTTCAAATGAATAATATTAAAGCAAAAGAAGCAATGTGTTGTAGCCTGCCAGTTCTATAATTTCTTTGTACATGAATATGAAAATGTTTTACATAAATGCACAGCGGGCAGTAACACAGTTATAGACATTTTTTGTTGCTAGGTGCATCTGCAGATTGCACATAGCTTAGTGATGAAAGGAATGTTTTGAATCATTCTAGATCTATTTCTGTTTAAAATTAAATGAATTCAGAAAGCAATGCTTAGCTGGAAACAAAACAAAACAAAAAGCCCCACACACTACATCTTATTATTTATTAAAGTGCACAATGTTAAATGACAGGGTTGTCTCACTGTTTTATGAGAAATCTGACAAATTATTTTTCCCATAGGAACATTTTAAGAAATACAGCCCAAGATGCTAATTGCTTTGACTTTGACAGAATACTAATTATTTTCCCTCTATCTACCAAATTCAAAGTCAAAAACTGAATTTTCTCAGCATGCCATTTCCCCCTTAATAGTAATACCTGAAATTTTAGTTGCAATCCGTGTGGTGATGGGAGGTCCAAAACCCTTTACTGTGCTGGCTTTAATGGTGAATGAATAGGTAGTTCCTGGGTATAACCCTACAAAAAGGTGGTGAGTTTCATTCCTTAGCTTGAAGACTTTTCCTCTCTGATTCAACAAATCAGCAGTAGGATCTAGAGATCCAACAGCTTTGTAGGTAATCTGAAATAAATGGAGAAAAAAATCAAATTTGTTGTATTATCTGAATATATATGTAATTCCGTATATATTTTCATCTACAAAGATCTACATTTATTTAGAACAACTGAACAAATATACTTCAGCTAACTTTAACTGATTTCTAGAATAAATGCTAGCTACTCAATGTATGCACATATGTATGAGTGTACATTCACACACATCTTTATGAACTGCCCATTTCCTGAAACTCGGGATGGTTTATAATATAGAATTAAAAACAAACAAACTGATGATACATTGCTCATCTCAGATTTGCAGCTTTCTATAGCAAAAGAGACAGCCAAATGTTATGGTATCCCATAGTGGAGAAGCTGTGTGCTGGACTGCTCTTATCCCCATTCTACATTCTGGAACTACTAAGGTAAGAGCATGGCTATTGTAAATATGCCTTGATTCCCAACCCTCCTATGTGATTCAGCAATATAGGATGGCCATGGAATCAAATGCAGGTTAAGTGCCTAAAAGATAGATTCCCATACTTCAGAACTTGAGTTAGAATAGTCACTAACTAATCAGAACTGATTCTGTCTCATGCTTAGACCTTAATCTAGAAACATATATGGAGATTCTCAGCCATCCAGGTCATGGTTGTCCCAAAGCAGAGGTGATATTCAGCAGGTTCTGACTAGTTCTGGAGAACCAGTAGCGGAAATTTTGAGTTGTTTGGTAAACAGGCAAATATCACCTCTGACTGGCCCGGCCCCATCTATTCTCTGCCTCCTGAGTCCCAGCTGATTGACTGGGTCTTATTTTGTTGCCCTGCACAGGTGAACGGAGCTGGAAAGCAGGTTAGTGGGGTGGGGAGGGAATGGGATTTTGCAGTAACCTTCCCCCAGAAGTGGGGTGGGAATTGAGATTTTACAGTATTCTTTCCCTACCACGCCCACCACGCCACGCCCACCAAGCCTTGCCACTCCACCAAACCACACCATGCCCACCAAACCACACCCACAGAGCCAGCAGTAAAAAAAATTGAATCCCACTACTGTCCCAGAGGTGCTTTTTCAAGAGGCAACTGGATTTTCTGGTTTTTCTTTGAAGATGTTTCACTTCTCATCCAAGAAGCTTCTTCAGCTCTCAGCTGAGAGAAAAATCAGAAAGTGCCTCTTGAAAAAGCACCTTTGGGACTTAATCTAGAAAGGAAGGAATTTAGATAATCCACTTCATCTAGGATCCTCTGTAGCTGATTCAATCTCGTATAATCTAACAGTTTGCCCAGAAAGGAAAGGTTTGTAACAAAGTGAATGGCTAGATTTTTTTTTTCAGGAGAAGGTCCATATTTGCCTCAAGGCTAAGTAGCACATCCCAATTCTAGCCATATGATGCCTCTGTCAGATAGCTAAGAAGTTAAAAAAAAATATGAATCCAGATCACATATGAGAGCCCCATACAACAGATAACCTGTTTCCTCAGCTTCCACAAGATCAGCAAAACCAAATAGTCAAACAAACAGTTATCATGTTAAACTGTGATATTGATCTCTGAACAAATATAAACTATTTTCTCTGCAAAGAAACTTTCAACAATGAATGGATTATCCTGATAATATAATAAAAGTGGAAAAGTAAGCATGCTTCACTTTAATTTAGGCCAAGTAAGGATACATATGTGCGATTGATCTAATCTATTCCTTGTTTTCTGCTACTATTATTCTAGATAAGTCTTATCTTATTTATTTTCTAGAGCTCTTTATAAAGAGATTGATGGTTTAAGGGAGGCTGTTCTGTAAAAAAATTGGTGTTTCGACAATCAGATTTGTGGAAGAACTGCCCACCACATTATTGGGGAAATCTCCAACAGGACTCAAGAAATGACCTGGATTATGCAGCTGGAATGATCCATTTTTATAGGTCTTCTATCCTTACCAGTGTCAGAAGGCCAGCAATTTCTCACTGTTCATGTCACAGTGCTGGAAAAAATGTGTCAAGTTCTGTCCTTTGGGATATGCATTTGACATTACATTACAAATAGAAAAGATACAGGTTTGCATCAGAACACCACAGTTTATGTCATACTGACCCCCTTGCCTTTTCCACAGTTGCTGTTGCATGGTGATATTGTGCAGCTTAAAAGTAAGTGGACAATGGAAAATGATGCAATGTAATGTCACACATGTTTCAAATCTAACATGTGTTTGTCCATATGAGTAAGTGACAAGCCTATATTTTTCTTGGCAATGATTGGCATGAAATCTAAAGTACTTTTGAACCTTACCTTGAAGAGCCATGATGAATCCGTGGCAGTATTGCAAGCTAACTCTGCCCACAGCCAGGAGTTCCATTCTCACTGGCTCAAGGTTGACTCAGCCTCCCATTCTTCTGAGGTCAATAAAATGAGCACCCAGATTATTAAGGGCATCTGCCGATTCTGTAAGCCACTTAGAGAGGGCTGTAAAGCACTATGAAGTGGTATACACGTCTAAATGCTATTGATATTAACCTCAGTAGTATGAGTTTGGGGGGTTCTACACTACCAGTTCCACAGTGCAGAAGTTTAGTAATAGTGCAATAGGATGCTGTAAGCAGTCACAACTTACAGTGCAGTATCAATCTCAATACTTTAGTCACAACCCAAAGCTATGGATTAGCAGATCTGGTTACTATAGAAGTAGTACAAGCAATTGCAGTGTCCAGGCACTGGGTCAATACATTGGCAGCTTCATCTATGCAACCTTGGATGGATATGTAAAGTTGAATATTCATCTACATACTGAAGATACTGCATTCCATATAGCAGATGATCTTCCCAGTGTCTGGGAGATGCTGAACAGAGTGTTGAGCCTTGATAAACCCCATGTAAGATACACCATGGATACAATTTCTCTTCTCCTGTCACTATTCACTGAAACCAATCACTGAGAATTGTGCCTTGCCTCCTGTGCCCTGCAGCTGGTCCAGAAGGATACTTTGGATAAAAGTATTAAAAGCCACCAAGAGATCAAGGAGCACTGGGATCGATGTACCACTTGCATCTTGGCTCCACCAAAGATCATCAGTAAATGTGATGAATGCTGAATCTGTACTGTAATCTGGCCAGAAGCCAGACTGAAATGGGTCTAGGTAATATGTAATAATTATGTACCATGATTATAAGTTTAAGAGTGGCCTTTAGGCACCATATTGGTATGCTTTCATTTACTGTATGAACAGTCCTAACAACTTTAAAAATGTAGTACCTGAGTAAAAGAAACAGTCAGGGATCACTGTTAGTGTAAATGTCAGGATACCATTGATATTTACTGGAATTTTATAATTCCAGTAAAATGTCAAAATGGAAAATGTCAAAAACACTGTTATTTATTATGTCTTAAGATTCACCAAGCCTTTAGTTAAACTGCATCTTCATTTTCATGATAAGTTGATAAAGGGGCAGCATCTAATAGTTAATAAGTATATATCACAGATATATACTTGTTAAAATCATTAGGTTCTTAGGGATATAAAAGAAGATTATGCACATGTACAATAAGAGGTTCCTCCCTCCCTCATTACCGCTCAAATTGTTCTTTCTTCTTTCTTTTTCTTTTTAACAAGCCTTGCATTATAAACAACTCTAAACTCTACATTTAACTTTTAACTACTGATGATGGCACAGTTTAGGAAAATTCTCAATCCTTTAGAGTTACAGAAATTTCATAAATCAGAAATAAACTTGGCCATTCTTAAGAAAGTTCCACAAACCAATTTAGATTCATGTTAAGCACCAGCAGATTTAGTAAAACATGAATATTTAGTTCCCTCCACTCCCCCAAAACACTTGATCCTGTTATTTGTGGCTCTCAGAGACCCTTAAATTCATACCAACAAAATTGGCCAGAAAAGTATTTTTGGGGAAAAAAAAAATCTTCCTTATTTCATTTTTTTAAACCTCTTAAGCACTAAGGGTTTGTTAATTTTTGAAAGAAAAGAGAGAACGTAAAAAAATAAAACCAGGGCAAGATGTAAATATCAGCAAACCCTCTGGTATAAAAATAAATTAAACTAAAAATAAAAGGCAGACTATCTCAGCTTTATATACTTTCAAATGAAATCCTAATTTTTTTCCTCTAAAACCTGTTTGGCAACAGTGGACAGATCTGACCATATTTGCAATCAAAGTAATTCAGGAAGAAAGAACTGGGTTTTTAAACTTTAATGATAAAGTATTATTTTGGTTATTAATCATGCTATTCTAATACTTTGTGGTATTTTCTTTGCTATCCTAATGGAAAGAAAGAGTTGACCTCACTTAGTGCACAACAATAAATGGTATTTTAGTGCTGTAGGTGAGGGGAATTCTCTTTCTATTGAGAAGACAAAGAATATATATTTAAATAGAATATATTTAGTTGGCTGGACTCAAAGTGCCGAGTCATACTGGAATAAAAGACAACACTGTGGTACTGATCATAGCAGCACAAGAACAAGCACTAAGGACCAAATCCATACAAGCAAGGATCTTATCAGTCTAGATAGGACCAAGATGCAAACTATGCAGAGACCTCAGAGAAAGTCCAACATATAGTGGCAGCGCTCAAGATGCAGGCAAGAAGGCTTCTGGTTTGAGCTTCTTCGGTGACAGACCGAAACCTCGTCTCTGCGAGGCTTCGATCCATGCTCGCCGCTGGAGTGCCCCGAGCCGGCTGGTTTTGGGGCTAAGGCACCCTGTAGAGGTGGTGAAGAAGGGGGAGATGGCCTGCAGGGTTGAGGAGAGTTGCATCTCTCCTCCCCAGCTGGCCATTACTCCCTTTCCCGAAGGCGGTTGTAGCGGTGGTCAGAAATGGCCACCACAAAGAAGAACTAGACCGGAAAAGAATGTGCAGGAGGAAGATAAGAAGAGAAAGTTTTGGTTAACCGGGTCAAACAGCAAAAGCAATAAATAAGGTACCCTGGAATTTAAATTTAATAACATTGTTCCCAAAGAAGATTTTGAAGCTGCGAAGAAGAGAGAGAAGGGAAAGGATTAGTTTTTTTTTCTTCCCT